GGAATTCTACGTGGTGTCGAGTTAGATGCCTTTTGGTGATCCAGGTTGGGTGCTAATACCATTACTTTGTCATATATATATATATATATATATATATATATATATATATATATATATATATATTTATATTTATATTTATATTTATTTATTTATTTATTTATTTATATTTATATATTTTTATATATACAAAAATGTTAAAGAAAATATGCTACTAAAAAAATCTTAGTTTAACAAATCTATACCATTAATAAAAATAAAATCTTCCTCTTCAAATTTCCCGCTTAAACTTTTCTTAATATTAATTAATTAATTTATTAATTTATTAGTAAAATAATTAATAAAGTTACGTTATTACAAAATATTATATGGAAATTAACTAATATTTATTAATTTGTAATATTCTTTGGAAATTCCGCATAATAACGTAAATTTATAAGGAAATAATGATTTATTAATTTTTATTTACATCAATAATATTAATTCGAATACTAATTTTACACCAACATATATCTATACTTCTATACTATTAATAAAAGTAAAATCTTCCATTTCAACTTTTCCGCCCAAAACACTCTTATACTATTACAGTACGTTTGGTTCACGGAATGAATTTTGAGGTAATAGGAATGCTATTCCATAAGGAATGGAATATGAATTGTATTCTATTGTTTGGTTCGCGGAAGGAATAGACTTTAGGATTATATACAGTGTTTGGTTGATTTAAGAAATAGAAATGAAATATGTTTTAAAAGACATAAATATCCTTATAAAAATATGTGATGGTGGTGGTGACGGTGGTGGTGGTGGTGGTGGTGGTGGCAGCAGCGGCAGTGGTGGTAATGGTGGTTGCGGCGGTGCTGGTGGCGGTGGTGCTAGTGGTGGTGGGCGGTGCTGGTGGTGGGCGGTGACGGTGGCGATGGTGGCGGTAGTGGTAGCGGCGACGGCGACGGTGGCAATGGCGGTGGTGGTGGCGGTGGCGAAATAGGAAATAAATTTAATTGGGGGATGGTGCTAACTGTAGTACAATTGTACAATTATAATATAGAAATTGCAATAATTTAGAAAAAAAGTTACAGTATAAATACTTTCCTATCCCGTAATACAATTTTACTTATTATTTTACTGAATCTCCAAATAATAATATTGATTGAAACTACGCTATAAATATTTTTCTAACCTTAATACAATTGTACATGAAACATGCACCAATATTTCTACAAATAATAATCTTGAAATTGCACTATAAATACTCTCTTAATCGTGAACAATTCTTTCATCGATTATTTTATGTTCTTCTCTGGTATTTCTACTATTTCTCCTTATTATTGACTAATGGAGTATGTTTTCGTGTCTGGCTCCTTATTGATAACGAAATGTTATATGAAAATTAATAATATCTATTAATTGGTAATATTCGTTGAAAATTCTGCATAATAACGTAGTTTTATAAGGAAATAATGATTTATTAATTAATTATGTAATTTTATAAGGAACTAATGATTTATTAATTATTATTTACACCAATAATAATAATTCGAATACTGATTTTACATCAACCTATACTATTAATAAAAGTCAAATCATCCCCTTCATTTTTCTCGCCATACCTAATATGAATATTAATTAATCTATATTATTAATAAAAGTTGGTGTTATCAGATTCGGACATGAAACAGTTGCCTCTAGTGGAGTTGAAGAAGTTGCTATCTTTGTGGGGGAAGAGTCTGAGGGACTTTTCAGAAATGTCAATTCCAGACGAAAGCAGCATGTGTTTTGATGGAAAACATGCTGATAGCCGAAGAGTTGGCGTATGACAAGGAATCGTTGATGATAGCATGAAACGTTGGTAACACAATTGACGGACGAGCATAAGAATGTCTACGAATTTGTGATGAATGATATTGATTCTAATGGATGTGAATTATTCTTTGTGTATGGTTACGGAGGAATACGCAAGAGGTTTGTGTGGAGAACGTTATCGTCAAAGATAAGGAGCCGCGGTGACATTGTTCTCAACGCCGCTTCGAGTGGAATAATATCTTTGCTCTTGCCAAGAGGCAAGACGACGCATTCCAAATTTGCTATACCACTCTCTTTGAACGAAGATTCCACGTGCAATACATCGCAAGGCAATGACCTTGCTGAGCTTATAACAAGGAGCAAATTGATAATATGGGACGAAGCACCGAAAATCATGAGGGATCTATCGAGGTTCATCATACCGGGTAGTGCAGAAAAGATATTTGGTGGAAAGACAGTAATTTTGGGCGGTGATTTTAGACGGATTCTTCCCGTTATTCTGAAAGAAACGAGACCAATAGTTGTCGGAGCCACTATTAATTCTTCTTACCTTAGACAAATTGCAAGGTATTGAGACTCACGAATAACTTGAGACTATAGAGCTTAGCTTCAAAGGAAAATAGACAGACGGTTGATTGGATTTCAAAATGGATTGTAGACATTAGAGATGGGATTACAGGGGTTGTAACGACGGTTAGTCTGAGATCGATATCCTGGCACGGTTTCTGTTGAAGTGTGGACTCGATCCAATAGCAACTATAGTGGAAAGCACATTCCCAAGCGCGACATATGACATGCGTTGATGAGTCGCACTTAGAAGGCCGAGCAATCCTCTCACCGACTTTAGATGTCATTTATCAAATTAATCACTACATGTGCGACATGAACACTGCAAAATTAAGTTGTGACTCTTTGTGTAAGGCTAGGGGTGTTCAATCGGTTAACCGAACCATTTTAACTGAACCGTTTTAACTGAAATTTTTAAAACTTTAACAGTTAACAGAACTAAACTTTGTATTGACGAATTAACCGAACCGAAGTTTTTTTTTTTTCGGTTAATCGATTAACCGAACTTTTTAAAACTAAAGTTTTAAATCCTAAAAATAATACCTATAATAATAATAAATCCAATTAAAATAATACATATAATAATAAATCAATAAGAAAATATACAAAAACAATATCACAACAACATTACAAATTTATAGGAATTTTACATATTAGATTATATATTTATTTATTTATATATATAATTATATATATTAAAAATTTCGGTTAACCGTTCGGTTAATTTGGTTAACCGAAGTTTCAAACCGAATTAATCATTAACCAAAATTTTAAAAAACCTTTAACCATTAACCGAACCGAAAAAAGTTCAGTTATAAAACGAACCTAACTTTGTCGGTTAACCAAAAATTTACCGAATTTTGCAACCCCTATGTAAGGCAGAATAAGACGGTGAAAATCTATCTGAAGTACACAGTCCTGAATTCTTAAATAGTTTGAGATTGTATGGATTTCCTAATCATTCATTGACATTAAAGGTTGGTGCACCTGTTATGTTATTGCGGAACATAGACCACTCTCTTGGTCTTTGCAACAGTACGCGCATCATCATCACAAGATTGACAGATCACATTGTCAAAATAAGAATAGTTAATGAGACACATCAAAGAACCAAAGTTCTTATACCCTGAATGTCTTTCACCCCTTCTGATACGAGATTGCCCTTCAGGTGTACGTGGCTTTTTTCCCGAGTCACCCATCTTGATGGCCTGAATGTTTTAGCTCTAGACAAGGATGGACAAAATTCTATTACTACTACCAATGTCGTCTACAAAGAGATTTTACTAATAATGTGTAATTCAAACCAATGATATTATGTTTTTTAATAGAAAGATGACAAAATTGCTATATATTTACATAGAAAATATATATCTTCTGTACAAAATAATTTCTACAACTAAGTTGCTAGACAACGAGCTAATTAGCCCAATTAATACAAATCTTAAACACTGATATATAAACCCTCTAAAGTTTCAGCACCGAATGCGTATATCTACACGTTAGCTATTAATTGAATAATTATTTGCACGAATTCAAGCAATGATAACATCATAAAACATAATTAATCCAACTCAATTCCTCAATTGCACTATATAATATTCAATATTATAATTTATACAATTATATATCAATCCAAATATTCTTAAAATATTATAACAAATCTATTTCATGCAACGCACGGGTGAAAATATTAGTGAAATAGTAAAAATAGTAAAAATAAGATAAAAAGAAGTAATTGTTCCGACAAGTGTTTAAAGAGTTTACTTAAATACTAGATCTATTTCATTGATTGATTTCGTCCTCCTTTTTGAGTCCAATACGTAATGCCATAATATAAGTTCACATAAGCAATTCTCGTCCAATTTCAACAAACGACCAAATTGATAGAAAAGTCAAACAAAGAACAACTGGTAGGAAAGCTAGAGATGGTGAGTGGTTTTACTTCTAATGTGGTCTTTAAAACATGCATTTAGCCATTTACATCAGTGCAGATCAAATAGTGAATTTTTTACTGTGTTTAAAAAACATAGAGACTAAGATGGTACCAACAAAAAAAAAAACTCACAGAAGCTTTTATGATACATATGGAATCGTGTGTTTCAGTGACCATCACCTCAACGGTAATCATTGAGCAATATGTGAATTCCTGCAGGAGTTCTAACAGACGTACTCCCAATTCTTATTCTTTAATGGGATAAACATTGATAAGTTATTTTTTCATGTGGACCCCATTGCATATTTGGTATTAGGATGAGGTTGGAATGATTACTAATATTGATATTCAATTATGTATGACATTATAATGGAATGATACCTGATTTAAATTAGGTTAAGTGAGAAGAGATGAGTGAAGAGGCGATGAAATGATAAGGGATAAGACCGAATTAATGGAATGATACCTGATTTAAATTAGGTAATAGGTTTTGTAATTATAGAGATAATCAAATCTTATATCTGTGTTTTAAAAAGTTAATCAACCAAACAATCTGTATGACTTTCAAACACACCCATAGTATTTTGGGTCGCCACATAATACTGTTACAGATTCTGCGCTGAAGGTTTTGCCCATAAGAAACCATACAACATGAACAATGCAGCAAGCCAAGCCAAGAGGAGTGCAGTTTTCTCAGCACTTTAAATTTCAAAACAAAGCATAAACATTATTGGAACTTTAGAAATTTGAAACTCTTTCGAATATTCTTGAGAGGAGGAGCAAGCATAACAAATTAACAAAGAGATTTTTGAGATTACTAACAACTTGTTTGTAATCTCTTAATCTATTTTCAAGAGTTATAAGCAAATAATAATCACCCCAATAATGTACAGTACATAAACACATACGTACCCATAGTTTTTAGTCGGAAACCTTATCAGGCAATCTCAGCAAGATATTGGTCCATTATCTGCGAGACAGACTCGAGGAACGCAGTTTCACTGGAATCAGGAAGCATCGAATCCAGTGCTTGCTGAACAATCTTCTCAATTCCAGATTCTTTGTTCAAGGTTTCTCTGCACATGATGCTGCCTATGGCAAATGGTGTCAGCCCCCTCTCTGCGCCTTTCTTCAGAAGCATAGTAGATATGCAAAGTGTTCGGGCACATTCCAGAGGCAACTCCCATCCGTAGTGCTTCAGCAACGCAATGTCCTCCTCGGCATCAAGAGATTTTATGTAATCCAGAGTTTCAGAGCTGAATGGCTTACGTGTTTGTGGCCAGTAAAGCCAGTCAAATGTGATATCTTCAAACTGCACCAAAGGGAATATAAATGAATTCAGAATCTAGATAGATACTACAACTGCATAGGAAGTGCACTGGAGTGATGCCAAGCAACACGTGGACCGTAGTCGTTTATGGGTGATACCAAATTGAAGCATGCGCTCCATCTGAACTAAAAGCCTAAGCTGATAGTTAGATTGCACAATAATGGTTATATGCTCAACCAACACAAATTTTGCATACATCCATCAAAAGTTGTAACCAAAAACGCAACAAATTAATAAAAACATAAAGACAAGAAAATGGACAATCTAGAAAAAAAAAAATGAAATGTAAAGATGTGAGATCAGTGTTCCGTTGTGGAAAACTTGGTATATTTCAATCAGTAAAGCCGTAAAGGTCTCACTTGGGTCTGTTAAGAAGCTATGCAACAGATACAAGTGAAAAAGCAAAACCAATAATAATTAATAACATTGCACAACAATTCTAAGATGTAAACAAAATAAGCAAATTTTGCCAATTAAAGAACTATAAAATTGAATCAATTGCAATTATAATTATCGGGATAAAGACTTACACTCTCAGGCAAGCAGTAACCATGATCAATGGGAATGAGCACAGTCTGCCCGTCTTCAAGTTTGCGCATTAATATATTTCCAGCATGCCTATCGGCATTTGCAAGCCTCATATCTAACACTGCAATTTTATGCACTTCCTCCACTGGGAAAATACCAGGGCCCATATCCTCACAGCTGCCATCATTCTCCATAAACATTTGCAATGATCCAAGCTTAATATTTAAGCCTTCTGGATTATGGAATCCACTATGAAGGCACTCGACAAGAGTGGTAGGAGGAACACCTGCAAATCCATTTACCTGGCCAGAAAATGAGCGCCTACCACTTTTTGGATGGTCCAGAACATAGGCAGCACATTCCCTGTATGCACCTTCACCAACTCTTGTCCCCTTCTTCAAGCCCTCACCACTAAAAGAAACAGGCAATGCATGTGGATTGTTCACGGCCATGGGCTCCTCATCAATTGGCTTAAACACTGAAATATATGTACTTCCTAATGCATCAAGCATAAAATATGCTCCGCCTGTTCCTTCTGACGTCCTAATAGGGTAATTTCCTTGGTACAAACCTTCCCGTGTGGAATCAATCATATCATGAATCACCGATGACAATTCAATCTTTGGGTTAACAATGAAAGGTTCCAAGAACGTTTCTCTATCAGGAGGCTTCCTAGGTACAATAAGCTTATTCTCGGTGTCATTCACCCTTGTAGTTTCTTTGACCACACCACCCAGCTGTGGTGCCACAACAGACAACTCAAAATTCTTCTCCACGGGTCTAGCCCTAATCTTTGCAGACTTCCGAACAAACAGATGAATCACAGCATCACTGCTCTTGGAAATATTGTGTATGAGCCTGTGATCTTCTAGCTGTTTACCATTGCAGAACACTTCCGGTTCCTCAATCTCAGCTAACCCACCTTTCTCTTGTATCTGACGCTTAACATACCCAACATCCCTACTCCTCTCCACATGAAAGGTGAATTCTTTTCCACAACAAGTCGTCACATTGATGACCTGAAGATCAGAGAGGCGGAGTACTAAATGCAGCACATTCCCATCCGTAACCCCGTAGTCACGAACTAGGGAATTGCTCCGGTCTAGTACCCGGCCTCCACATACCAATTTCTGATTTTTCACCACAAACCCTTTACAGGTCTGAATGCGAAGCTTGACAGACTCAATTGAATCAGACTCCAGAACCCTCAATGGCATCTTGGAGCCCGGCACAGCCACATATATCAGAATAGGCTCCTCAAAATGTACAGGCAACGGAAATCCCACCGGCTCTTCTCGAACCGTGCTGATAGCTAGCATACCCGCAGACGACATATTTTTCTACAAAATTCCCAAACACCAAAAAAAAAAAAAAGAAGGGAAGAAATTCCTACAAAACCTAATACATCATAACACAAGAGAAGCCCTAAAATGCCACCAAAATATGGTCACCACATTGTTAAATGCCCCATAACTACCACAATCAGGTGCCCTTGATAAATAAATAAATAAATAAATTCATACAAAACTAAAAATAAATCCCCCTATCTATAATTTCATGACTGATCATTTCTTCACTGCAACAGCTTTTAATTGATCCTAGAGAGTGCAGAGAGAAAAAATATTTGCAGGGGCAGCGCGAGATAAAGGAATCGGGGATTCTTACCCGATGAGCAAGAATCGAAGAAGGAAGGGGCAATCGGGAGGCTGATATACGTGAAGATTGAATCAACTTTCCGATCTACGCGGACATGAATCGGCGATGATGCACGGTATTGATTAACGAGAAGAGAATGAGAGCGAGAGATGAATGGGGATGGCCGCCGTTGGGTTCAATGCATTGCGCGTTGAATATTGACTAATGACTTTCGAGTTTTGAATGGAAATGGAGTATTATGCCCCGTTTGGGGGTGTTGGAATCTCTTATTCAAACATTTTTAGGACTTTGGAATTTGGATGCTCACCTTCATAACTTCCAAGTTGATTGGGTTAAGTTTGACCTTGAGCTATTTTACACTTTGATACAAAAATAAAAATAATTGTAGTAAATACTTCATGAGTGTATTAAGTAAACTATATTTATGTGTAATAGTTTACAAATACGAAGTAATACATAAACATGTGTAATAGCTTACAAACTACACATGATCGTGTACGACATGTTCGATTAGGAGAGTATTGATAAGAATTAAACTTGTGACCTTCAAATATAAAATTCATGATTCACCAACTTAATTGCTCATTTTTTCAGGTCTTTATGGCAAGTCACGAGTGAAAGCAAAACAAATTATGATCATCTTAATAATTTCTAATCGATATGGTAAGATGATGATATTCTTATTTAAATTCTGTGTTGAATAAATAACTAAGATATTTATTAGCAATTAAAATGATTTGATTACTAATTCTATAGTCTTGCAATATGCATGTTTATGTTGGTCCATTCTAGCTAATTTTATTTCTCCTTTGACTCTTTCTTTTTTTTTTCATTTATTTTCTATCCCAAGTAACAAATAAAGAGAAATTATGCATAGCCATATATTTTATGTGGCATTGAGAAAAAATGGAAAAAAGTAGGTAGTTTGTTGTGCTTAGAATTAGTATAAAAACCATTGTATTTTGCCTTTTAATTAAATCATAAACTTTTAATTTATTTCATTTCATTTTTTACTTTACTTTAGATATTCTTTCCTTGAAGTTTTATTAATTGCCATGCATGACTAATTTCTTTTAGCTTGGTTTAATAAATTGAAACTCTGAAATTGATTATGCTAGAGAGATTACTAAACTTATTGTTGATATATAATATAACGCATTGAATATTGAATATTCTTTTGAATCTATTTTAATAGTTGTATTATTTAATTATTAGGGAGACCTACTAGTTATTTATTCAATATAATTATTTGCTATATTAGCTAATAATTTGTGCTACAAGTTATTCTAATTTTAGTAATGAATAAGATTAATTATTGACACATTAGTGATAGTTAGTCGGGAGGGGAATATTTTTTTAAATTAAATACAATCTTTTGTGTTTGTGTTATTCAGTTTATCGATTTCTCTAATTTCTATTGTTGCTACAAAAATTAAATTTATAGTACTTGTCTTTGAATATTTAGTAGTTATGGGTAATTAAGTCACGTGTGCTTTAGTTACCTACGATTAAAGGGAAACATGAATGAAATAATTCCACAATGAATATTTAAGTGCATTTTTTTTGTTAGACCACGAGATGTCTTAAGTAGACTCTTAACTATAGGAGATATCTTTAAGCTTGTACTATACCCAGACTAATTCATGTTCACACCCGCCCAACCCAAATTGATCTCCCTACCTCTCTTAAATGATGAGAGAGCATTTTTAATTAATGATTGGTATTAAACTCTAGTAGGTGGATATGTCAAGACCAATGTTTTCCATAAGTGTTCTAAATATTGAGAAAATGGTCAAATAGGCTCCTAAACTTTATCCTAAAAATCAATTAGATCCCTAAAATTTAAAAATATTTAATTAAACACTCAAACATGTCAAATTGGGTCAATAAAGTCCAAAAACCGGTAAATGACCTATTATTAATTCCAACGTTTTCCATAAGTGTTCCATTCATGTTATTACCCATAATCTGTTATTAAAAATGTTTAATGACCAAAGTTTTCCATAAGTGTTCCATTCATCTTATTACAGGTCATTTCAATTCCAACGACGAATCCCAGCCACCGGCGACGAATCCCGACCACCGACGACAATTTTCGGTCATCCGGTCGTCTTCCACTAGAGAAGACGATCGGACGGCTGGCGGCAGGCGGTCGTCTGCCACCTTTTCCAGTTTGAGAAGACGACCAGATCTGGTTTGGTCGTCTTCTCCAATGGAGAAGATGACCAGACGGCCGTCTTCTCCACTGGAAGACGACCGGACGACCGAAAATTGTCGCCGGTGGTCGAAATTCGTTGCCGGAATTGAAATGACCTGTAATTTACTGATTTTTGGGCTTCATTGACCCAATTTGACATGTTTGAGTGTTTAATTGAACATTTTAAAGTTTAGGGGCCTAATTGACTTTTGGGGTAAAGTTTAGGGGCCTATTTTTTAGGGGGCCTATTTGACCATTTTCTCTTAAATATTTTATTTTGAATTATTATTTGTTAATCTTTCTTTTCTTTGATTTTTGTTCTCATTATGTTTCAAATCTCCCATTCTTTTAATATTCATAAAAGTTAAACTAGTTACTTATTATGGGAATGATCTTACTCTTATATGGTTTTAATTAGAGAGCATACGATAGCTCATCAAATTTAGGCGCCGTAATCGATGAACTTTTCTAGTTTATTTTTGTGCTTTTTATTTCATTTTCTTGAATTAAAATAAAAATGAACTTTTCTAGTTTATTTTTGTGCTTTTTATTTCATTTTCTTGAATTAAAATAAAAATTTATCTTGAATATTTTGCATTATTGTTGTAATATCTTTGTTGGTATGCGTATAACTCAGTCGGCTAATTGAGAAAAATTGCAGTATGATCCAAAAATTGAAAAAACTCTAAACACTCTATGCGGGTTAAGAAACCAAGCACGAAGGAAGTTGGAGTTTAGTGTCCTATTTTCTTATTCTTCATTTTTTACCAATTCTGACTTAGAAAGAAGTGTACATGGTTCAGACCCATACTTTTCTTGAGATAGATGCTAATGCTACATTTGAATTAAAATATGGACTAATTCATCTTTTACTTTGTTTTCATGATCTTGCAAGTGAAGATCCACACAAGCGCTTGAAAGAATTTCATGTGTCATGTTCAATTATGAAACCCACGGGGTTACTGAGGATTGACTCTTTCGTCCAACCAGAACCGGAACCTTACTATAAGGTTTCGGTTCCGGTTTCGCCATCCATGGAACCGGAACCGTGGTCACCCCTATATTTAGGACCTACTTTGAAGCCTTTTTAAAGGCCTATACATTAAATAGGCTTTTAAAAAGGCTTCAGGCTAGGTTAAAAAGGCTTCAGGCTAGGCTAAAAAGACTTCAGGCTAGGCTAGGCAGCTAGGCCAACTATAAGCTCAGACTTGAGCCTAACAAAAAGCCTACATACAGACACATGCTTTAGATTTCCATAACAAGCCCATGCCTAATTTTCTAAAACCTGGCTCGACTCAGCCTATTTCCACCCCTCGTCTTGATGAATTGCATTTCTTCAACCTCTTTTTCAATTTCTCATTCTCAAACTTGTTGGTGGGCTAGCCTTTGCACACAGATATTCATTCTTTGACACACTTTTGCTTTAATAAATATTTCACTTTAAAAAGTTTAGTGAATTTACTGTAGAACTCCTTGAGGTAAGATCACTCTTCAAAACCTTTTCATTTAAATTTGTACCTTATCAAACCAATATGCACTCAGTTTTGGTGAATTTAACCAGACCAAGTTAACACTATTTATAGCTAGGCACTAGTTAATGGCTACAACTACAACCTAGTAAAACTCTAAACCAAGTCCAGCAAAATGCTTAATTATAGACCAACATTGCAGGGAGGCCATGCTTTGGATTGTAAAACTTCAACTTCAATGGGAACTTTTGCAATTAATCTCAAATGATAGGAAAGTTTCTTTATGTTTAATCCATTTTTCATATTTAGCAACTAGCATAAATGGTTAAGAACAAAGTCTGTATACAATAGTACTCCATAATAATTGACAGCCGAGTAGGGTTTGCCAAATAATGTATCATTGCAAAATCCATGGTTTCATGGTTTTACATGAATTCTTAAACAAAACATAGCAATAGAATTTCAACTATATGTTGGATAAGGTTATGAGACTTTCACTCACTGGTTCCTCACTGATTTCCCAATGCTAGTTCGTGCCAGGAATCTCCATCAACTTGTTGAGTCTCTTGATCTGAAAAAGACAGTTTGCAGATAAGATGGTGTGAAGCAAACATTACACAACTTGACAGATAAGATGGTATATTATATGGATAGAGTTAATGTCATACGGGGTCCTCCAAGTATAGTGATTTTGCCACGTTTAATCCTAAACTTTCAAATTAACCACGCCTGGTCCTTCGACTTTCAAATTGTTATCATCCGTGGTCCAAGTTAACCACCCATGGTCCTTCAACTTTTAAAATTTAACCAGATCTGGTCATCCTAGAAGGATAATGGCTAGTTAAAATTTGATAGTTGAAGGACCAAGGGTGGTTAACTTGGACCACGGATGGTAACAATTTGAAAGTCGAAGGGTCAAATTGAAAGTTTAGGACTAAACGTGGCAAAACCACTATACTCAGAGGACCCTAGATGGTATTAACTATATATGGATAACAGGATAAGTATGCTTGAGCAATAAGATCTTAACAAGCAAAAAAGTATAACCTCACTACATTAAGAAATGTACAGTTTGAGGATCTCACAGATGGACATTAACTATGCAAGGATATTGTCAGTCTCTACTCTCTAGAAGTTTTATCCTTCAATCTTAATCTTTTTAAATTAAATGCCTAATCAGCCTCTTCTTTTAGAATCTTTGCGTTAGTTCTCTAACATTTTTGACATGCGCTTCACTAAGCGATGAAGATATCACATTTATATCAATAATAATGCAGTAAACACAATATTGCATTCTTCAAGCTACTATCCAATTATCAGCTCAAATAGACACCCATTGTATCATTGCAAAGGAGCATTAAGCTTTATAGTACAAAATGAACAATAACTGAAATCATTAATTCCTTAACAGGCCCCATCTAACCAACAATGACTCTATTCTGTAAATTTTATGATAATGGATTATGACTAACAGAGTTACAGATTGTGAAATGTGAATAATACATAATGCACTGCTATAATGTCCTTAATGTAAGTTATGGATTAGAGTTAATTCCAGCAATGGTCCTCCGA